TTATAATATCATATTATTATTAGTATTATATTGTATTACATTATAAAATTAAACACACACACACACACATATACATACAAAATCAGAGTTGGAAGAGACTACATGGACCATCTAGTCTAACCCCCTGCCGTGCAGAAAAAGCACAATCAAAGCATTCCCAAGAGATGGCCATCCAGCCTCTGTTTAAAAGCCTCCAAAGAAGGAGCCTCCACTACACGATTAATGATCTGTTCCAGAATTTTCCCTGGTATTGAGTCAGGCTGACTGGATGGCAATTGTTTGGGTCCTCCTCCCCCCCCCCCTTCTTTAAGATAGGGACAACATTAGCTCAATTCCAGTCTGCTGGGACTTCTCCTGTTCTTCAAAAATTCTCAAAGGTTATTGCCAGTGGTTTTGAAATCATTTCTGCAAGTTCCTTCAATTCTCTTGGATGTAGTTCATCTGGCCCTGGAAATTTGGGACCTTTTCACCCAGGGCACTTTTACCCTGTTTTACTACATTTAATTGTGGCAAGGATGGGGCCTGCTGTGCGCCATCACATGATATGCAGCAAGTCCCGCCCAAATTCCTTCCAAAGTGGTGGAGAGGTTTCCCTCCCACTACAGGGGGGAAAGTGTGGTGTGGGTAAGTCCAATGGAGCTACTTGCACTTTCCCTTCAATTTCTCCATGTTAATGCAGAAAGGGTGGTGGGATAATGCACATTAACACCCTTTCTGCCATCTGATGTGGGGAGGGAAAGATTGGCAAAACGCCCTCTCCCATCCCCTCCATGTGATGAGGAGAGAAGGGAGGGCACATAGGGTGCCATGAGCTGTCCCACGAGTCTTCCTGTTTGCTGGGGATCACCAGCACAATGGCATGACCCACAAGGGTTGTGTGAAGAAGTCCTTGAATTCTTTGGAGTGGCCAAGTATTCCTGTACTACTACTTTACCTGTTTTGGGTTGCATTTCCACTATTACTTCATCCACTCTATATTGCTCAGGTTGAAAACTGATTTATTTTTGTGAGAAGACTGAGGTAAAGAAGGTGTTGAATAGTTCGGCCTTTTCCCTATCCCATCTTCTCCATGCAGAGATCCGACCATTTCTTTGTTCTTCCTTTTAATACTGACATAATCAAAGACTCCCCCCCCCCCCACAATATTAAATTCATGTTCATTTACACTTGTGTGAAATGCAATGTATGAATTCTCATCATACCTCACCATTGGCTTTGCTGGCTTGGACTGGTGGAAGCTTCAGTCCACCAACATCTGAATGACCACTCATAGACCACTTTTGTCTAAATTAATATCAAACCATCTGGTACTCTTAAAAAAGCTACTTTTTAAAATCCAAAACCTACAAAATTCTAGGATGGTTTCAGTATCTCCAAGTTAAACAATCCTATGAAGAAGACAAAAAAAAATGGTTTCTGCCCAAATGATGACTTTTGGTGTAAATTAAAGGACTCCGGGGGAAAAAAAATATAACCAAAGTATATAATTAATAGACTGGGCAACTGAGACTGAGGAAGTTAAAATCTCAATGATCAGGAACATAGGCAGGTTGATAAATCTTGCAGAGTGGCAGAATATCTGGACAAAGAAATTGAGATACACCTACACCACAGACCCAAAGGGAAACTATAAGAAAATGATTCATAGGTGGTATATAACACCAAAAAAGCTGGTAATTATGTACAAGAACAGGGAAAACAAGTCCTGGAAATGTAGAGAATGTACAGGCTCTTTCTATCATATGTGGTGGAGCCGCAATAAAACAACCCTCTATTGGAAAATGATACACGAAGAAATCCAGAAAATATTAAAAATAAGGTTAGGGATACCTGTTAGGGATACATGAGAGTGTACAATTCCCATAATTAAATTTGGAAAACTTATTATTTTTTGCACCACCGTGGCAAGAATAACATACGTCAAATATTGGAAGCTGGAGACTATCCCTACTAAGGATGAATGGCTGGACAAAATTCTTGAGATAAAGGATATGGACAAACTAACCTATTAGATAAAAAGAAACACCGGCAGACCCATGATTCAAACAGACTGGTCAAAATTCAAGGAATATTTAAAAGAAGATAAGTAAACCCTGAACTAAATATGGTTATGAGTGGACAAAGGAAGAGCCTTAACAATTGCAGAGTCAGAGGGATATTCAATAGGCTTGGGCGGTTTCGTTCGTTAATTTCGTAATTCGTTATTAATTCGTATTTAAATTAGCTTACGATCCAATATTGAGCCATGCAGGAATAGTGTGAGGAGTAAATTAGATTTGAAATTTTTTTTCAATTTATTTCGTAATTATTTTGTAATTATTTTGTAATTATTTTGTAATTATTTCGTAATTATTTTGTAATTATTTCGTAATTATTTTCGCATGTCTGGTGCAAGTTTTATAGTTGTTTGTTTTATCACACCAACAGTCAACAACAGAGGGAGAGGGAAGCTTCAGAAGTTCCCCCTGTCCCATTTGGAGTTTTTTTTTAGCATATTGCGCAATCGCGTCCGCCATTAACGAATCGATTCGTAATTATACAAAATTTCGTATATTTCGAAATTTTTAAAAGGAAAATTTCGGAATTATTAAAAAAAATGAAATGTAAGGGCCCCCTAAAAACAAAACGAGTTTAGAACCAAATTTTTCCATGGTTACCCAAGCCTAATATTCAAGAAAAGAGATATTGAAGGGAAGAAGATTGGAAATCAAAAACTTTAAACTCTTTTTTCTTTCTCTTTCTCTCTCTTAAATCGCTATAGATATAGATACTTTCCTGCTTTCCTTGAATCAATTGTTCCCACACTTTCATTGTTACCCCTCCCCCTTTTTTCCTCTCACTTCCCCCATTTTAATATAAATGTGGAAAACCAATAAAAAGTATTTTTTAAAAACTACTTTTCCAAGAAAACTGACTTTACCAATACATTTTCTAGTGCACTGACATAAAGAAACTGAATAAGCTACCAAGTCACTGAAGAGCAACCTGTTGAGTTCCATCAGCAATGTTGCTCAGAACAAACAGCAGTAGACATCCTCGGGGTTTTTACAGAAGGATGTGGGAGGCGATTGGTTCCTTCATTTAAATCACATTTAGGAATGACAGGTAGGAGACATTCTGTCTCATCAGTGTCACATTAAGAAAATCTCTCTCACACAAATGATAGCATGAAACACTATTCTGCAAACAATGGAATCAAATTTGAGCTGGCCTGATGTGTGGTATTTGTTGATTTTGCTTCAGTGGAAATTGCAGATGTGACATGATAGTTTACTTTCAGCTGAACAAAACAGCCTTGATACACCATAGCAGAAAACAATTCAAGAGAAGAAGGCTGTGTATTTCTTAGCAAAATAAATTGTTGTATTGAATGACTCATTCAACTTCCACGATTCTGTTTCATGTGGCTCAAAGCAGGTGCTGGCAAATGTGTCTCCCTTACTAAGCGTGATTCATTGATTTTGGGGGAGACATAACCACATTCTATAAAACATCCCACTTCCATGAGTAATGTCTTTGAAATGTGTTTTAATGATTTCAACATGGGTTTGACTGCAGATTATTAAAATCCCCCAAACATTTTCAGCATGTTATTATACTGATGTAAAATATATCTTTGAGTTAATTAAAAGAATCATAGTTTGATTGTTTATCATCCACATATTCATTTAGGCAATTTACAATATCAGAAATGAAGAAATTTTGTTTATAATGGAACATAATGTTACAAGAAAAGATACCAACAATATTTTGGCATACTTTTGATGTATTAAAAGAAATCTGAAATGTTTCTTGCATGAAAAACAATTAGAAGAATGGCTGTAATTGTTCTGAAGTTCTGGATCATAAGAGTTGGAAGAAACTATAAGAGCGTGCAGGAGGTCCAGGATTCAAAGACATTCACTCTCTTAGTCTGATATGCAATGAGATCTTGTAGCATCTTTGAGACTAAACAAGGGTATTTCTAAACTGACAGCTTAGGTTAGTGTAGAAATGATAAGCCACATGGTGCTAATCCAGGTTAACCTGGGACAAAGCCACCTTTCAAAGCTTTTACTGTTTTAGTTGCCCTTCTTGGAGCACGTTCTAGGTTTTCAGTGTCCTTCTTGAATTATGGTGCTTAGAATTGGACACAGTATCCCAGCTGTTCCCAGTCTTTGGTCTTCCAGGTGTTTTAAACTTGAGCTTCTAGAATTTCTGACAGTTGGCCAAGCTAGCTCGGGGTTCTAAGAGCTGATATCCCAAACATTTGAGGACCAAAGGTTGGGAACCATTGAGCTAGATCAGAATCCTGCCCTTTTCAAGTTGAGGCCCTATTGCATTGTTTACTCCAGACACTCTGCTGCAGCCAAACACTGAAAGTCTGTGTTTTCACTTTCTCTCCTTCCAGTGCTAATAAAAACTATCAAAAACTTCTAGCTAGACAGATAAGGAAGATAATAGGGGACTGGGAGGACATAGAAAGCTATGCCTGTATATGAAATTATTCATTCACAGGTCAAAACAACAGGTTTCCCTATAATCAAGAAACAGTTAGAAGGAAAAATAGACCACTGAGAATTAGGTTTTCTCCTGGAAGCTGAATGTCCTGAAATGCTGCAACAAAATTATTATTTGAGGGGAAAAATCATGTGGCATAGGTTTGCAAACAATTTTTTGCTCCAAAATACAATTTCCAGTACAGGAATGCTGTTTTCTTCACATCTATGTTTCCCTGCAGAATAATTTCCCCCCAAAATGACAAGATGTTTTAATGAAGGGGAAATACTGCAGAGGAATATTAGTTTTATACCACAGTGGAGAGAAAACTTCTGCATCTATTCATCTTTGCATAGGAGAATTGAATAGCTGAGGGTTTACATTGTGTGTGCATATGTTCTCCCTCTTCCGATGATATAGATATAGAAGACTCCCAAGGAGAATATTTAAGTATTCTTCCCTGCTGTTGTTAAGACAAATAGTACGATTATTATGTAATAACTATTTTTCTCTTTTCATAGATCCTGGGTTGCACAGGCAACAATTTTTCCTGCAGAGACCGTCAAACGTGGTTGTCGTAGAAGGGAAAGACGCAGTGTTGGAATGTTGTGTTTCTGGCTATCCACCCCCAGTCTTTACATGGCTGAGAGGAGATGAAACAATTCCATTCAGGTAGGTTACATATGGATTTCAGCAGATATCTTCAGGACAGAACAAAGATAGGACAAGATCTGACTTTGGGGCTGTTCAATGAAACTCTCTTCTTATGCAACTGAAGGCAACCAAATGCACAATCCCATGTACATCTGCTTGCTCCATTTCTGCAACACTGAACAGAATATATACATTTACCATCAGCAATTTATTTTTTTTTAAAAATTGCAATTACTTCCACAAAAAAGTCACACATGCATAAGAAACCAACTGAGTTGCATCCGTAGACTTCTACTGAACCTCCCTGGCTGTATTTCATTTGTTCCCTTTGAGAAGATTATTGCTGAAAAAGAGAAATAATCATCTAACAGAGTATTCTAACATACATTTGTACAGCTCCAGCATGCAATTTGCTCAGTTTTCAGTTATAGCACTGTGATTCCAAGGGCAGGTTTGGGAGGCAAAAATATGGCTTTTGCTTTGACCTGTGGATAAGGAGAGAGTAAACCTCCAAGTGTGTAACAAATCAATCTTTTCATCTCCTTTTAAAAATGTGCATTTAGCAAGATCTAAAAAGAATGAGAGAATCTTTTATCTGAGGGTTTACAGTGTGGATGATGTAAATTGCATTGCTGATTTTAAGATGTCTACTTCTATAACATATAGATATGGAAAGGAATATAAATGAGAATAAAGTGTGAAAATGGGGTAGGGAGTGGGAGAAGAGCAAGGAATGCAACCTATTAAACCTTACTAAAAATGGCCACAGTTATTTCTCTGCAGAGACGCTTATGCTGAAAGTCTTTTTTAAAAAATGGTTGTAACCACTCCATTCCTCCTCAAACACCCAAGTGGCAATCATGCCACATGTGTGAAGTCCTCCTCCCCATGCTTCTGATGAATGTCACTTGGGCTAAAAAAGAAGGTGAAGAAGTAGGGATGGAAAAGGGGCTGCCTTTCTTTCAGGTAAAGAAAGTGCAATGGGGTAGGAGCACTTTTCACTTCTGCCTCTTTAATGCTGCCTTTGTGGCGGGTCCATTTCCAGCATTGATTCATTTCTGAGTCAAGCCAGGGTTTTTGAGGCAATGTCTTTTTACTTTTTTTGATTTATATATGAGTATATACAGTATTTTCTTCTCCAACAATGATTTCCTGTTTGGAAAGACATCCCTGTTTTAGAATTGTTTGACATGATGATCTTGCCATTTCTAAATGGATTTGCCAGTTGCTCAAAAGGCTGTATTAAGGAATGTGCTATAAATGTTCTAAAATAAAGAGGAATGTGGAGTCTATGGTTTGTGTTGCTTGTTTCATTTTAAACAAAGGTGTTTTCTCATTATTCCAGGTCTAGAAAATATTCATTACTGGCTGGTAGTAACTTGCTGATATCAAATGCAACAGACGATGATTCTGGGACATACACTTGTGTGGTCACATACAAAGATGAGAACAGCAGTGCTTCGGCAGAATTATCTGTATTGGGTGAGTGCTGAGACCTCTATGTATCGGAAAGTACTTTGCAGAATGAAGGAAGAATTCCATGTTTTTGACCATCACCATGTTAAATTATTTTTATAGGCTGAACTACTTTTTTCACATGCCTCTTAAACACCATGAAAATGACAGTTATGAGTGTTCTGGCCTGAATAAAAATAAAACCTGAGTTTATTGTTTGTATTAAATGTTTTTGTGTCTGAGGACAAGAAGTAACTTCAGTTCAACTGAGGGCCCTTCTACACAGCACCTAAAATGCGAGAGTTACCAGGTTAAAAGGGGAGAGGGGCTAAATTACTTTAATGGTAAATCCTTGCTCATTTGTTGCAATGGACAAAAAATATGTGTTAAAAAGGTCCGCTTATATCCCGATTCTGGCTGGAAAGTGCACATAACATGTTATTTCCTTCCCTCCCCCTATTTGCACATATACAATCCGGCACATAACAGAGTGATTTTTTTTTAAAAAAAGAATCCCACCAGATGTCCCCCAATCTGCCCTTTATCTTGTTCCTGTGAAGATTGCTGGGGTCCCAATCTTCGGACTAACAGGTCTGTGTGGATACTTACAGTCAGGTTGCAGGATTCTTTTTTTTTTTGCCACCATTTAAATCCCGCATTTTGGCACTGTGTGGAAGAACCCTATTAGTGTTACTTAAATCTCAAATGAGTATGAGTATAACTACCCACATTGCTTTGTGGATAGTTATACTGTAACACACCCATGACAGTATTTGAATTGCCTGCTTTGGTTTAGCTTACCAGCTTGCAGAGAGACTTGTAGAAATAGCAGTGGGGTCCATTTACATAGCCAAATGCATTGGTTCGGGGGAAATGGACTCTGCAGTATCCACATGAGCTTGCATGCATTTTTGCCAGTATAAACTTTTGGGCCAGTTCCAATTCAGAATCAGTCAAAGCTGTTCACATCATTATCTCATTCTCTGGGCTTGGGCAACCCAAGAAGAGGGGATGGCATTTAGCTTTCATCATTGTTCTGGTATTAACTGAGACCACCAGGCACAAAAATGGTGTTGCGTGCTGCTTGGCACCTGTAATAATCATAGCTTAACAGATGAGGCAATCAGAGAAATAAGGAGGGAGCGACTTCAACAAGGCTGATCTGGAGTACCCTTCTCTGAATTGGCATAACCATTTGTGGCACATGTACATGCCCCCCTCCCCCCACACACATGCTACTATAACTGAAAGGTTGATTGAAAGCTGGAGGAAATGTTCTACAATTTCTTATCTCTGCTCTCTGTGGTAAGGGTCAGTTTTCAAACATACATTCAAATTCATAATGGCTGTTTTAAAATAAGGTTCTGTCTGAAAACATGGAACCTCCATGGTTTTACTAAGTGGCATATAAGATAAAGAGGGATCCTTCTAAATAATTCTTTTTCAGCTTCAATTCTGACTGTTACATGCCTCAAAAGAGTGTGCCTGAAGACTGAAAAGCTCAGTTCTTTCATAATCAGACTTCCAATGAGTTCTGGACTCTAGTCTGAAAATAACGGTTGGTGGGAACATGAAAGAGAACCTCTATCTTTCCATCCTCCCCACCCTATTTAAGTTTATGATGATTGGGCTGAGGGATATGCCAAACCCATTTTATGTCTCCTTCTGGTATTGTTAAGCAATGTATTTCAGTCATTCTTCATTTACACAGGTGTCGTACTAAATCTATTCAGGCTATTTTGTTTTTGCTCCTGATAAAGTTGCTCTACTCTTCATTCTAGAAGTATATTTCTTGCAAATTCTCACACATCAACTGCATACTTGCCACTTATTCCAGTAACAATTAGATGAAGGATGTTTAGTTTTTTTAAGTTGACTGACTGACTGACTGAGTGGGTGGGTGGGAGAAGGCAGACAGCTCTTTTAGGATTCCTTTGTACTTCCCTCATTTCTTGTATTCTTCGGAGTGTTTTTATACAATTGAATTTCCATTTCTCAAGCCATGTGCAACTAGCTTTTTGCCAGATTTCTTTCTAAACTAGGAAGTAATGTATGTTCATGAAAAGGAACAATTTCCCTAAGTTAATAAGAATTAAAAAAAACAAACAAAAACAAGGAGAGTAAGGTGTGAAAATGAGTTATTTCAGGGAAAGGGAGAAAACTACACATTTGACGTTGATTTATTTGGGAGAGAGGGAAAAATGTGTCTATGGCTGAAAAACTACATAGCTGCTTTCTCAGCTGTACTGTAATTTGCTGTAGACATTAAAGTTTCACTTTCAAAAAGGTTGACATAAACCAATGTCACCTGTGCTTCTAATTAATTTTATATGTGGGACAGGCTTCTATTTGCTTACTGGGAAGGGAAAAGCATTTGTATGTTTTTCTACATCTTAAGTGTGCCTTGGTGTTGAAATAGCTCTTAAATAGAGTTCAATATTTCCGCTTTCATTTTGTTAAAATTTTGTGTAATTTCTAATTCATATTTTTTTAAAAATATGATTTAAGCCACATTCCAAGAGCAAGCAAACTAACCCCCACTCCAAATTTTTATTTGTTTTTCCAGCCAATATTCCAGCTGAAAAATAATCGAATTTCTTCCCAGTTATGATAAAACATGATGGTAGGGATCATGTTGTCCCCAACTATGCTCCCAATCTGTCATCGTCACCTAAAATGCTGCACCTTGGCTGCTACCTAGATTTTTGAAAGCCAGTAAGATGTAATGGTTTATGTTTGACTAGGGGCCCTGCTACACATGCATTAAAACCCAAGAGGAAGCAGGTTAAAAGGTGGTGGGGGTGGCTAAACGATGCTTAACCAAAGTGCAGGAGGAATCTGGAGAATTCAGGTTATGGACTGGAAAACACATGTTTAGGAGGTGCCCTTTAAACCCGATTCTTCCTGAGAAACATGCACCTTTCCATGCCAGCAGGCATGGAAAACACGTGCTTTCCTTCCCTCCCTCCTGTGTGGACTCTTCCAGAGCACATGTGTTTCTGAAAAGCCCAAAATAGCTGATCAGCTGTCAAATACACACAGGTGGCTCAGGGAAGCACAAGTGGAAATCAAATACAACTCTCTCAAATTCTGTCTTTTACACTTTGTAATCTTGAACAGAGCTTGAATTAACAATTAAAGAAAGACAGAGGTTTGAGGGAATTTTTTAAAAAATTGCTCCATTATGTGATGGACCTCATATGCACATATAAATTAAAAAAAATTAAAAAAATTAAAAACATGAATTAAAAAAAAACTTCCTCTGGTTTTCCCTGTCCGCCCTCCATTTTAATCTGCTGGGAGGATGCTGGGGGACTATGTAGGAGACTGATAGCAGTATTTGAGGTCCTGCATTTTGAAAACCCACTTCTTTGTCCTGTGTTTTGGCACTGTCTAGAAGCACCCTATGACTCTGGAGCCCAGGGATTGAATCCCTGCTTGATGGTCGAGCAGTCACCTTCTCTCAGCCTTAGATAAAGGTAATAGCAAACTTCTTGCAAACATTTTCTCACCAACAAACCCTGTAACAGCTGCTTTGAGTCTCCTTCAGGAAAGATACAGTGGGATATAAATAAAAGAAGAAGTTTGCCTTGAGGTTGCCATAAAGGCACACAACATTAGGATAAGCCATATTAGATTCCACTATTGAAAGAAATACAGGATAAAATGAAAACAACCACAACTCTGTTTCACTCATTATTTTTGCCTCACTAAAAAGATCCACAACATTTTCAAAGCATAATTTAGCAGTGGCATTTTTGCAATGGATAGAAAATATCTTAAAGTGCACGTGAATCAAACAACGTGCATCTCTCAGACCAGTTGTAGCCTTTGTTTAATTTCAAAGGTCCTTTGCAACCAATCACTTTCAAAAGTAATCTGCCCTTCTTTTCTGGTCCACTGTGTGAAGAACAAGATCTAACAGCAGGTCCAATATTGGAACATCTGGACAATATTAACCCATTCTAAAGTACATAGCTTAGCCACCATAAAGCATAAGTTTTACAACAAATAACTATGATAGCATCTATCATTCGTTGTACATCCTGCTCACCTGACTTGTTCCAAGTATTTTTAAAATGCTCTTTAGATGCTTCTTGGTTTTCTCTCATTCTTGCCCTCCCAAATGTTTAGGGGTGAAGTCTCATGTTAGTGTACATGTGTATCCACATGCACCCATTGACTTGCTAGTGCTTGTTCTTGATCTGCTCTAAGCACTTCCTGGCTTTAACAGCTATATTTCTTTCCTGTCCTACCTGCTGATCTCCTCACTTTGTTTGCTTCATAGCATTGTTCTATGTTCAGTGCTACCTGGATTCTTGATGCTTAGGCAATAGGCAAATTTTCAATGTAACTGCTTCCTGGCTTCATGTGTGCTTAGTTCACTAGATTACCTAAAATGTTCCTAAATTGCTATTTTGCTTTCTACCTTGTGCATGGCTCTGGCTGCTGTGCCATCTCTTCATCTCTTCACATTTGTAGAACCTCATCTATTTTTAAGTACCGAATTGTCAGAGGTCAGCATGTAAGTATTTCCAAATCCATATTCATTAATTCATATTTCCAAAACCTTCTGTTATTCATTGCATCCCAAATCTTTACCTGCATGTGCTCTGAATAGACATTAGTCAACCTACACAATAGAGAGGTGGATTTTCTCTCGTGGTGACCCACACAACTTCTGAGGACACAAAGATATTTCTTAGGGTCTACTACCAAGATGTGGAATTCCCTTCTATGGGAGGTTAGGATGGTCCACCTGTTTGCTAACTGGTGAAAACATATTTATTTTGATTGATGTTCATTAGCTGGATGCCAGGATTCTTTTTTTTATCGGATGTCATGCTGCATTTTTATCCTTTGGTGCATCCACTTTGGAATTACAGCATTCTCTTTCTACTTTAACTATCTTAGCTCTTGTGGAATTCTGGGATTTGTTGTCTGGTGAGAAGCTAATTATCTGTTACAATTCCTTGAACTGCAGCAGGAAGCCTTAATTATTTCACAAGGATTTCAAATGGTGAAGC